CCCCCCCCGTGTTCCGACTTCGAGAACCCGAGGGTTCCTTCGCTTAGCGAGGAGGGTCATTTAACACGAATGGGGGGAGAGGGGTATCTTACAAAGCGTCTAACGATGGGTATAAGCGCCAACTCGGTCAGAATTATTATTGCGTGGTGGCCTGTTGTCAAGCTGGCGTTTCACGCCCGACATATGTATTGGGCTGAAAAATCTCGACTGTAACAGGAGCAATAGACACACGCAAGGTGAAGCGATAACATAGCCTTTCCAACCCCGACGCTCGCAAGGGAAGTAACGCACAAGACGAGTAACCCTTCGATGTGCGGCCTCCCCACCACAACACCGTACGTCGGAAGTACAATCTGTGTCTCCCCCCAAGTCAAGGAGTTTGAACCCGCTCCCCGCCCACCTTGCCGGAGCTCGACAGCTGTTTCGGGGCGTTGGTTTTCTGAGTGCTCCGTTCCCGCAGTGCCTTCTTTCGTGCCTCGAACTCCTCTCTTTCGTGCATGCACACGAAAAGAGCCCATTTTAACGAACGACCCAGGTAGCAGCGATCGGGGGGGGGGGGGGGGGGNGGGGGGGGTGCTCTTGTGTTTTGCATGCCTCAGCGGCTCAGCAGTCAGACCATTGACCTCGAGTACTCGAGAGGATGGAGCATTGTTCCCACAGGACCGATCACCGATAGCCAATCGTTCCTTCCTACTTTGACAAACTATGTTGTCTATCTATCCGATCGATATCACTGGCCGCTGCCTTTTCAACCCACTTGCTATGCCCCAGTACAGCTACCGTCTCTCCTGGCTGTTCCATGCCTCAAACATCTGCCTGCATCTTCCTTCTACTACTTTTCCCAGCTCAGTCATCATACATACATCACATCTCCCTCTCCCTCTTGTACATCGGACATCCCGCAACTACATGAGCCCGGTCTTCGGGTGGGGAAAACGCATGCCGTAGTCGTTAGACCATTGGCGTCGCATCCCTACAATGGGGGGGGGGAACGGGCGAGAAACACAAATTGACCTCCTCAAGACTCTGTGCCCAACGATAGATACTACACCGATTATTTTTTAGACACTTTCAATGCGGTGAAAAATCCTTTCACAAAAAGCTCCGTCGGCGTGGTATGGATACATTTTGACCTACACGCGTAGTCACCTTTGCAGGGTGTCCCCTGATCCGCGATAGCCAAGCTCAACCAACTGGCGCGCAAGATCCTCGTCTTGCAGGTAGTACATGTCCGTCTCTGTGACCTGTCCGAAGCAAGAACGGTTCACGACGTGGGCCTTGGTCATGAATATTCGTTCGATTATCATAATATCATGCTGCTGCGTCTTACGACGGCCTCTAATAATGGAGAAAATCATGCTGACCAGAATTAATTACACCCGACGAGACAAACATGTCAATTAATATGAGGGCAGGAATCGATTGTTGAAATTGTCCCAAAAGGGGGTGGTGGACTATACTACGTCAAAGGAGCTGTTTTTCATTAGGTTTTCGACAAGGAGCTGCCGTGTTAGGCTCACTGCGCTGGGCAAGCATAGCACCCACACCGCGTTCTTTCCACACCTACTCGTACGAAAACATACTGCTCCTTACCTGAGAGTCTAGGTAATCTTCGTATGTTTCATACTGCTCCACCGTGTCCATGACGTGCAGATCCTCCGCGGACGCTTTGTCCCTCTTGCCTGACATGGCGACAGAATACCTGCACGCGAGCTCTAGAGCTAGACAGAACGAAAAGGTCACCTAAAGCGGATCTCAAATGCGTGATGAGACCCACCCGATATCATAACACACTTGAAGGGAGCGTGTGTGTGTCCTGGGATTGTTGTTGTTGGCTGATTGCAATCGCGACTGTGGACGCAAGCGGTATCTCCGGAGAACGGTGAAAAAATTATATGTATTCGCACTCGAGCCGTTTCATTTTCTCTTCATGTGCACGCGTGCTTGCGCTGCATGTCCCATGCGTGCGCGGCAACGCATTGCATGCACCGCTGTGTATTTCACACATCTAGCTACTTCATCGAGACCCTCTCATCCTTCCGAGAGGCAGGGGAGAGGGAGAGAAGACGGAGAGGGGGTCGAGGCGACGATGCATGTTTCTGTTCGCTTTTTTTTTTTAGACCGTCTTTTCGACCAAACCGCGGACCCGACGACGAACGAAACATGTTTACAAAACCTCCCCAATCATCACGTACAAACCCGTCTCTTTCTCTAGCCCGTTTAAAGTAGGGCATTTCCCTGCCGCGGTGGTAGCAGCAGCAGCGGTGTGAGGAAAGTCAATGAGAGTGGAAGTACGACGACGATCAGGCCAGGGGGCAAGCTCTGCTGACGTGATCCCTCCCCCGAAGCGGTCGGTGAGTGCCAAAACCTGTCTGATCAAGGCCTACTCAGATAGCTGCTTCGACAGCCCGACAAACTTCTACATCGCCCCACCGGATCACCCGAAGCTGGGGAAGTGGGCCCAGGCATCCACCCTCAAGTACAGCCAGCCCGCGACGCCTCTGCAGGACAGCTACATCACTCCTCACTGCCTTGACGACATAGTTTTCTCCGCCTCAAGCCGCAGCAGACCACGTGCTGCTTCTGCCGCTATAGCTGGCCGCAAGCCTGCGCGTAGAACCAAGGCTGCAGCCACGTCTGCATCGGAGAACCGCTCTGGTGCCGCTAAGACTCTGACAGCATTAGAGCGCCAGAGGCTAGTGCAGCCCGGGAGGGTAAAGAGGCCAATTTCGCAGGTAGCGGCGCTTCCAGCGACGTCTTCCACCGGAAGCCCTCCGGTGTCTTCGATTCGGGGTCGGCGTCAGGAGCCTCGTATCGACACACCTATATCAGGCCGGGTGAGACGCCATCCGCGTGCTCTATTCAACACACGTCCTTCCACTACAATTGTCGTTAATTCCAGTCACTCGTGGGGCGCGCGCTCTTCGCCTCTAAAGAAGGCCCGCACACACGACATTAATATTCATGATTGTGTTCGCAACCGTACAGTACTGTAGTTCGGCCCTGTGGGCACCATGCAGTGTGGCATGCTGCAGCGGAGGTTCAAAAGGCTAACGTAGTGGACATATCGTTGTCCAGGATATTTTTGACCCTGCTTTGCAGCACTTGGTGATTTTACGCGATATTGTGAGTCAAGCCGTTGGTCAGTGAAAATTCCATCACACAACCTACTTTTGCTTTTGTTGCTGCCGCAATAAATGGTAAACACAGCACCCGGCCAAGAATTGGAACTGAATCTGTCCCGTTTCCACTTTATCGGTTAGCGTGCGCCGTGTACGCCGAATGAATCGCTTCGCCGCGTCACTGACCCTGGTGTATCATCCGCGTACATAGAAGCAGCCTTCAGATGCATCTCTCCATGAAATGGCACAGATATACACAAAAGATGAGCCTCGGAAGGCACAGGGCACACCGACAGGATTGTCCAGCTTCGAGCGCAAGGTAGACCGCCCTATAGAAGCATCCTCGGTAGCAGGTTCGAAGGTCCTGAGTCCTGATAGTTTCTTGCTCGTTTCCTCCTCCGCATTTTCCGCTGGGTACTGCAAACAACAACAACAACAACAACAACAACAACAACAACAACAACAACAACAACAACAACAACAACAACAACAACAACAACAACAACAACAACAACAACAACAACAACAACAACAACAACAACAACAACAACAACAACAACAACAACAACAACAACAACAACAACAACAACAACAACAACAACAACAACAGGTGGCCCCGCTCCACAAGCGCAGCTTCCTGACCTGCACCCTGCCCGCGTCGCCAACCCTTTACGGCTCGTTCGACCGGCGGCACCACCCCCGCGCAAGATCGGCCGGCACCACCAGGCCTGATCATGCTCCGCTTTCCTTTGACTGGTCTGCGCCCGGCGGCTTTTGTCGAGATCCGATCGTTTTTGACCTGGGAGATATGGGTTCCGACAGCGAGCGCGGAGGTGTGTGGCGTACGTGATGCTTCCTGTGCAAACGTATACACGGACTCCACGGCAAAAGCCAACGGCGGGTACACCTTGGTAATCGGGTCCTTCATTTGACGGCTGACCTTAAAAGATCGGTGCACCTTGACACCCCCCTTCGTAAAACAACCACGTGCTCCCAAAGAACGACTACATTTTTTCCCTGAGATTTCCCCTAAGGTACGCCGGCTGCAAGAGAAAACCACGCGCGAAACGAGTATTACTGCCGCCCCTTCATGTTCCTAACATTTTGAACCACGATGATCAGGAGATGGGGGATTAGGAAACGTGGACGGGTCTCGACTCGAGGAAGAGGGAGGGCCTGTTGGCGACCCTGACGTTCGATATCGTGTCGCGAAACTTGATCACCGTTCGTTCGATGGTCAAAGAGCGAGTGCCGACGGAGATCTGTTGCACAGCAGTGCCACCAGTGGCGATGATCATCGCCATGCGCCGCCCCCTTTGGGCCAGGTCAGTCTAGATGGCAAGGAAGGATGCAGCGAAACAACGCAGACTGCTGGCTTTCTGCGTAGATCGGACTCGAGGTGCAAGAATGATGGCCTTTCGGTGAATGCCACGCCCAAATATACAAAGCGCTGAAAGTCACGCCCACTCGTGATAAAACGTCAGAACCAAAACCAATACCATTGCGGGCAGCCGTACTGCTGTGTGCACTCCTCTCTCTCGTCTTGCTATCCGACACGGTTACCGACTGCGACATTCACTCTCCTGGTGTCACCGCAACATTTCATGTTGTTTTTGTCCGAGCAGATACCGGCGCGACCCTCAACAGCACCAGACTCCAGGCACCCCAGCACAACACCTGACGACGACGACGGGGGGGGTAGTACGGCGGAAAGTAGCGGCGCAAACACCTGGGCGGCGACGCACGTAGACCCGTTCATTTCGACCCTGAGGCGAGACTTGTTGCGGGATAGACCGGCCGATGTTCCCGCGTACGTGTCGGCGTTCTCCGCTCGTTGGCAACAGGAGAGATGACACGAGAACGGAAGAAACGAGACGTGCCGCCGAGTGTTGTTGTTGTTGTTGTTGTTGTTGTTGTTTCTCACATTAGCTCCATAGTCCTCATTTTTAAAATGGGGAGCCCGTGGTCTCAAAACCCGGCACATACGACGCCGCGGGGAAACACAACAAAAAAAGGTACAAACCACTCGGAAAAATTGTTAATCTGTCTATGACTCTTTTCTATGATAGAGATGGACTCGTTGTGATAATAATAATAATAGGAAGAAAAGAACAGGTACCGCACCGACCGTTCCAGAAAAGTGCCCTCGGAAACCGACAAAAAAATCAAAAACAAAATAAAGGAGGACGCTTCCCACACCCGCCTAAAGAATAAATCAAAGGGTAACGTACCAGCACCAGGCACTACGCACCAGGGCATGGAAGTAACGAAGCAAGCAGGACAAACAGGCGGCAGATGGGCAGACAGCCAGACGTACAAAAACAAAAGCAAGGTACCGAACACAGCAGAGTAGGCAGGGAGGACATGAAAAAAAGAAACACAGCACAAAGCCCGAAGGCAAAACAAAGGACGTACATAAAGGAGTATAGCATGCAGCAGGGAGGGAAGCAGGACGCAACAACATCAGCCGGGTACATAGTTTGCCACAAGTGCTGCCTCGACCGCCCTACTCGCTTCTACAGCAGTGCCCGGTCGCCGTTTCTTCCCCAGCACCGCCGCTTCCCCGAGTCTCTTTCTCTTCGGTCCTGAGATGGCCGTACTCTCTGCTTCTGCTTCCCTCGCGCGCTGGCGCTTCGCGGACGCTTCCGCCTCCTGCCTGTGTCATTTCCTCATGAGCCATGCCGCCCCGTCCTCGACCTTCTTGCACCACAACTCCGGGCCCTTGGCGCTCTCTTTCCATTCCTCCCCTTCCTTTTCATTTCTCATGTTGCAGGCCACGAGGTCGTCTCATAGACGGGACACCCAGTCGCTCTCCTGCCCGCCCCGGTATCCCACGCCCCCCGCCATCGCTCCTAAGACCATGCGCTTGGGGAGGCGGTTGCCCTCCATGCGCATAACAAAGCCCGCGAAACACAGTCTCCGTTTGCGCACGGTGGCCTCGATGTTTTCCTCGCAGCCTGCCTGGGTGAGGGCCTGGGCATAGGACAGCGGGCGGTCTGAGCGTTCCCGCTTGTGTGTGTGTGTGTGTGTGTGTGTGTTTTATTATTAGCATCGACCGCGCTAACCGGCTGACCAATGAAAAGACGCTAGTCTTAGTGCGGTTGAAAACACAAAACACTTCTATCTACCATGAACTGGGACGTGTGTGTGTTTTTTTTCTTTTTTATTCTTGGCATCGACCGCACTATCCGGCTGACCAATGAAAAGACGTCAGTCCTAGTGTGGTTGAAAACACGAAACACCTCTAAATGCCATTCAACGGGACCCCGTTAGGGGGGGTGTACTCATAGTTGTGCATGCCGTAGTCGTTAGACCATTAACCTCGCATCCCTACAAAGCCGGGACAGAGCACGCCGGGTTCTCACCAGACCAGGCTCTCACATCATCAAGCGCGAAGCGCTGTGAGGTATTCGGCGAGTCCCATGAAGGGTGCGCTGTATCCTGCTACGGGTGTTCGGTATCCTGTGCTTACTTCCTTGCGTACGGATGATAGCTGCGTATGATTTTATATATTTTCTGGTGCTTTCACTTCCAGAGACAGTTGTAAGCACTGTGTAACTGCCTCGA